AAGAAGAAGAAGAAGAAGAAGAAGAAGAAGAAGAAGAAGAAGAAGAAGAAGAAGAAGAAGAAGAAGAAGAAGAAGAAGAAGAAGAAACAAAAACAAAAATGGCCTTTAGAGAAAGAGAAGCTTCAAGTCATAAACAAAAACACAAACAAAATCAAACATGAATGAACGGCAATCTCCAAAAGAAAGCAGTCCAAAAATATGGATACTACACTCTCCTCCCAAGAGCTGTCCTGCTGGGCAGGAGGAATTCGAGTCTTTCTCTCCACTTTGTTCTATTTAACTTCTTTTCCAGCTTAGGTCACTACTGGGCGTTTTCTGCCTAATGAACTGAATGAGGTCTGGAGAGGAATAGGACGAAGCTGCACTGAGTTCTGCTTTCTCTCAGAGGGTGTTCAACTGGAGCTTCCTATCTCAAACGCTGCACTGACTTTTCTGAGGTCTCCCTGTCAACGTCAGCTGGACTACTTAAAACCAGCCTGCAACCTGAGAGGTCAATAGTGTCGGGGGTTTCATCATGAGTCTAGGCTCCGGCTTCCCTCAGACTGTACCTGTTCCGGTCGAGGGAAATCGGTCACACTATATCAGGAGTGACCTGCAAGACTAAGTATGTAAATGTGGGTGGAAAGGGGTCGCCCATCACTGCCTGTGCAGAGCCAAGCCATGTAGACGGGAGGGTAAAATCACTTAGACCATAACTAGAGATGGGAGAGAATACAGTGGCTAGCAACCTTCCAGACCCAATAGTATCTTCATTAAGAGAACGAACTGCCAAACACCATGGCAAGGGAAGTTGATAGACGGAGAATGTTTCTATGGCAGGTCACCAAACAGGTGCTCCATCACTTGGTCACATCTGATAGCTCAACAGAAGCGCCTAGCCATGAATGTCTGAGCAAGAACTGTGGAGTGCTTTTTTCTGCTTAGAAAGGCCTCGAGCCTGCCCCCAGCTGATCATGTGGCTCGACACATAGGGATGGCCACCTGCAGCCTTGGGACAGCCAGGCTGGGGCCACAAGACCTCAAAGAGGAGCCCAGGCCACTGTGTCCCTCACCTGCTCCTCTTCTACTCCGCTTTCTGCCCTGCTCAGGTCCACTGTGCACCACCAGCTGCTGTGTTACCAAGAACAGGGATAGACTTAAGATGGAGGTCATTGGCGCCCTTGGGACCATGGAGAAGCTCCAAGGAGCCTGAAAGACCCACGAAGACCATGAAGGGAGATGCTGCAGAGAAATCTGAAGAGCCAGAAATATCTCTGAAACAACTAAAAAATAGGTGGGTCTTGTGGGAAGGTGCTTTTAAAAAGTGGACCACAAAACTGAAAGGTAAGATAGTGGCTTGACGGGTATGAGAACAACATGGGTGTGTGGCCGCAGTGAACAAAGTATAGGCCATTACTGAATAGTGCTGGTATTGTCCCAAGGACCAGCCCGCAACATGGAGTCGCCACTGCTGCTTGCCCTGCTGGGAGAAAGGCAACATGGATCACCAAGCTGCCCACAGCTGCACCAAGGGCAGGGAAGTGCACAGCAGCCTGGAGTTCTTGTGGATCCTGCTCTCAGAGATGCCCTGCCTAACCACAAGATCACCCTATCAATGGGCAATAGCAGGATATCTGAGACAAGTCTCCGTCTGGTCCAGTATTTACGGTGCTTCAGAAACCAAAAGTCTTGAAGCAGGCCAATGGCTGTTGCAAGGAGTGCTTGCAGGTGGACTGGGGAATACATAGTTGCGGAGTAGGGCCAGCTGGTGGTGTCCAGCAACCTGGAGCCTGAGCAGGCTCTGGCACCAAACATGCTGCTCAGCCGTACAATCACACTGGCTCTGAGCAATGACAAAACATCCAAGACAGTTCATTTTCTGGATCGGGCCTCCTCAGAAGACCTCCATGGTCTATACTGTCCCCAGAGGCCACATTGGCATTCGTGATCCATGCCGCTGACAGAGACCATACTGATGTCTGTGGTCCATACTGCTGCGAGAAACCAGGCAGAAATCTGTGGTCTGTACTACAGATGGAGGACAATGCTGACGTCTGGGGTCCTTGCTCCTGTCCCGGGCCGTATTAGTGTCCGTGGTCTGTGTTGCTGCTGAAGCCTAGGTTGATGTGTGGTGTGGCCTGTGCTGCAGCTTCAGGCCACGTTGTGGTCGATGGTCCTGCTGTGGCAGGCGACCCTGTTGATGTCTGTGGCTCATGTTACCACTGATGACATTGTGAATGCCCGTGGTCTGTGCTGCCACCTGAAGTCATGTCGATGTGATGCCACTGAGGGCCATGTTGATGTTTATTGTCTGTGCTGTCGTCAGAAACCTTGTGAAAGTCCACGATCCATGCTACTGCTGATGGTAAAAGGCAGGGAAGCTTCTTTTGCAGTGGTATTAATGATGACTGTGGGCTCACAGTTGAGAATGAGAGACATAGAAGGTCTCCGTGACAACCTCCCTGACCCCCCCCCAAAAAAGAAACAGTCTAGACAGGGAGCCATTGAAGAGAACTCTTAAAAAATTGTGATAGGGATGCTGAAGGGTAACTCTTCACAGTTTATGGCTTCTGGAAGGGGTGAGGATGGGGAAGGACTCAGTTTTCTTTAAGGGGCTGGCTGCTGGGAGTTTAACCATGCTCCAGTAAGTATAAGGGTAACATAAACTGGACATGGTATATTTTTTCCTTTGTTTTTTTGGGGGGAGGCACAAGGGTAGGGTTAGACCCAGGAGGACTGGAAAGTGAGTGTTAACAGGGTACATTATGTGAAATGTGCAAATAATCAATGAAAATATTACGTTGGAATAAATAGCTTCAAAAAGGAACTTTCATGGACTCTGTCTTTCCTGTGTGAGTTCTAACTGACACGCTGTCTAATTTTCTAAATTATTATTGGAACGATCTCTGTATTATTTCATAATTTGTCATCTGTAGAATCATGTTATCTTCTTTGAATCCCCCTTTATTGGTCTATCTATTAGCAGGCATTATCTGGTGGATACCAGAGACCACAATGGGCACTCAGAACTCAGAATGAAGCAAGAGCCAGCTCTCACCTTGAGCAAGTTCATGCTGGAGAGAAGTGGCCCTGCCAACAGATAACGATCTGAGACTCCGGATACATTATCAGTTTGTGTGTTTCAGTAGTAACGGGCTGTGAGTTGGTAGAAATTAACGATGCTTAGACAGGCACGCTTCCACGGGACTGGATTTATGATTTGGGAGAGTCACAAAATTTCAATGAACCCTGGTAAGAAGTGATGGACTTGAGCTCATGGCCAGGATGCTCCAGAAACCACCCACGCTCAACCATTCTCTATGGTAGCGTTGCAGAAGGTATGAACTTGGGTTGGACTAAACCAGGGGAAAAACCTGCCCTTGGACTTCAGTTGGGATCACTCAATGAGCCTTTGAAAGGTGGACCAAGTACAAAGACAGGGAAATTCAGATAGAAACATGCATGGCTCCAGCTCTGGCTTTCCCAGGTCTTGTGGGTTGACTGGCTGGATGGCTAACTGGCTGTACTGTTGGGCATCCTCATCACACAACTAACGCCTTCCTGGTTAAGTAGCTGTTCCACCATTATCTTCTCAAAAAAAGCAATGCCCTGCCTCTGATTTCTCTATTCCCTGTTCACGCCTGTTTATACAGTGTCGTTAATATGACACCTGAGTATGTGCCCTATCTCTTGGCAGCACCCTGACTTACAACTCTAGCTTAGCCAGCAGTCTCTCAGAGATATCTAGCAAAGACTTGATCATATCATCCTAGACAGCTCAAGCCAGAAAGCCCTGCTTCCCTGTCCCGAAGGACTGTCCTTGGCCTCCCTCTATATCACTTCCCAAACTGAACAGATCCTAAGATCTAGCCATTACTTCTGGTGCACAGGCTCATAGATACAAGGGATTCTCAGTATTTATTGTTTTGTTCCCCCAAGTTTCCATGAAAACACGGGCACATATTTGCAACACACCAATATTAAAATAAATATGAGAGAAAGCCAAGGGCTGGCAAGGACACAGGGCACTGGGAATTATTAGCTTGCTGTCCGTGGGATGGAAAGTCATACAACTGATTTTAAAAAGAGTTTGGTGAAATGCTCAACATCCTTAGCCATCAGAGAAAGACAAATCAGAACAACTCTGAGATTCCATCTTACACCTGTAAGAATGGCCAAGATCAAAAACACTGATGACAACTTATGCTAGAAAGGTTGTGGGATAAAGGGAACACTACTGCATTGCTGGTGGGAGTGCAAGCTGGTACATCCCCTTTGGAATCAGTATGGCAATTTCTCAGAAAATTAGGAAACAAACTTTCTCAAGTTCCAGCAATACCACTTTTGGGAATATACCCAAAAGATGATCAATCATACCACAGGGATATGTGCTCAACTATGTTCATAGCAGCATTATTTGTCATAGCCAGAAACTGGAAACAACCTAAGTACCTCTCAACCAAAGAATGGATGAAGAAGATGTTGTACATTTACACAATGAAGTACTACACAGCAGAGAAAATAATGCCATCTTGAAATTTGCAGGCAAATGGATGGATCTAGAAAACATCATATTGAGTGAGATAACCGAGACCCAGAAAGACAAATATCATATGTACTCATTCATAAGTGGCTTTTAGACATAAAACAAAGAAAACCAGCCTACAAATCACAATCCCAGAGAACCTAGACAACAATGAGGAACCTAAGAGAGACATACGTGGATCTAATCTACATGGGAAGTAGAAAAAGACAAGATCTCCTGAGTAAATTGGTATCATGGGAATCATGGGAAAGGGCAGAAGGAGAAGGGAAAGGAAGGGAGGGGAGCAGAGAAAAATATATAGCTCAATAAAAACAATAAAAAATAATTAAATAAAAAGAGTTTGGCATGCTCTAAACATATGCATACCCTATGTCTCAGAATTAATCCCTT